CGCAGATCCACGTCACCGATCAAGAAAAGATGGTTGGCTGCTTTAAACATTCTCAACTCGTACAGTCTCACTTTGAAGACGTTCAGACTGATCTGTAAGATGTAAGAAAATCGTCTCCATGACGACGTTCAGACAAGATGGAGCAGCTCTTCCTATGTGATCAAAAGTACAACTCTTAGACTTCAGATTAAAAGATTTAATTTGAAAAACCTGACTGCTGTTGCTGCTTCCTGTTTATATGTGAAGACAGCACAATGCAATACAATGCCGAGTTTACTACAGCTTTGTGTAGCCTCATAGATCAAACCAAGGACAACAATAACACTGTTAGTTGCGATATAAAAATATCGGTACATCTGTATCGGATCGGAATGGATAAAAAGTGGATCGGTGCATCTCTAGTGTTCAGCAAATCTTCCCTGGATAAAAAGGAGTGCACACACATGAACACACTTATCCCATCAAGACTAGCACACAGATGTGTATATGTGTTTATGCTAACGTTACACTGCAGAGAGTGATTCAGTATTTTGGATTCTAAATGTACTGTCAAACTGAAGTTGGTGATTCTATCCTTGACGGCTTGAAGCGAGTTGTTTTTCAGTTTTTCACTTCATCTCATCAGGGAGGACAAAATGATCACAGTTCACTCGTTATACTGGCTCAAACTGAAACAGAAACCTCTTCTAGCATGTTTGGCACTTGGCTTACACCGGCTCTCTGATCAGAGCTCAGATCACTTTGAGCTGATTCATAGTTCCCTCTGATGCAAACACTGATTAAGGCTCTGTACAGATGAGCAAAAGCATTTTATGCATTTTATGCATTTATGCAGGTCACCATGTGGTGGACTCTGAAGCTTCAGTGTTTATCCAGCTCTGCATGGGTCTGTAAACCTTTCTGTGTTCTAACCTCTCTCCATTTTTCAAAAGCATCTCCAATATTGATCCTAGTTTGAGCACGTTTCTGCTCGTGGAGCTTATTAGAAACATGCAGAGGCTTTTTAGGTCGGGTACAATCACTTCTATCTGAACCACTTCTCTTGCCCGCTTCCATCGCTGCAACACCTGTTGACCTGATAACTGCTCTCATATCTGACAAACAGAGGGGCGTCCAAAACGGCCGTGTGTGGGGGTCGCCTTAAAAGCGCCTACCTTCTCTGGTCCAAACAAACCAGTCAGTGTTGCTGTAGCTACCAGATTGTGTGTTAAATCTCTCTCTCAGTTTCTTCTTGTGAATGGCCAGTTTACCTTATACCTCCTTACACTACCTTTTAACGAGACTGCATCTGATTGGTTGTTGGCGCAGATGGGCAAAGACTTCGATTTAGTGTCACGGTGGTGGTTGTAAGTGATTATTTTCCACACATGCTCACACACACACACACACACACACACACACACACACACACATATACAAGCACAGTCTGTCAGTGTGTCGGTAATCCCTGGAGTATGGATGCATCAACCTCATTGGTTAATCTGGGTCAGGTGGTGGTGAATCTGGGTTGTGACTGGTTAATCCGAGGCAGGGTAGTGGGTAGGATTTAAGGTGGTGTTAAATCAAAGTGTTGTCAGCCGTCTAGGAGTCAAGGTACCGTAGCGTTGCCATGGAAATAGCCCCCATCTGGTGCCATATAGGTCTTTGAATTAAAGTAACGGCTGACAGCATAGAACAGAAATATTTTTGTCTACTTGGTATTCTGGCATCTTTTTATTCCATGTAGCTCGTCATGTTTGTTTATGGCGTTCATGTGGGGCCTGTTTACGCTCGGTCTTTGAGCCTTTTTTCACACCCTGGATGTCTTAAAATTAATTCCCACATATACAGAGTTTGTAGTCCTCAAAGCATATGGGTTCAAATCCGACCTGTGGCTCTTTTCATGCTTTTCTTTCCTCACTCTGTCTCTCCCTGATTTCTGACTCCATCCAACATCCTATCAAAATAAAGGCATAAAAAGCCCAAAATGGGGGCGTGGGATTGCCTAGCGGTTATGACCTGCAGCGCATGTACAGAAACTGCAGTTCTCGTCGCAGCCATCGTGGGTTTGAATCCGACCTCTGACCTTTGCTGCATGTCATCCCTCACTATGTCCGCTCAACCTCTCCTGGCTCTCTTCAGCTCTCCTGTCCAATAAAGGCAAAAAATAACCCCAAAAACCTAAACAGAAAATACCTAAATTAGTCATTTTTAACCAAGAGCACACAGAAACATTAACAAAATAACAGGATACAAAAGTTCCCCTGCAATAGTAGTATCGAAGAGAATCACTCCCATGATTCCCCGCCAGAGTCAAAGTCATCTTTTGTTTGGTTTTGATTGATAGCCTCCTGATGGTGGAGTTTACATTCAGTTTAAGTTGTTCAGTTTCATCTTTACTAGTGTAAAATATAAAATACCAGTGTAAACATTTCCAGGTACTAATGCTGGAGCAGAGCGTTACAAGAAACTGTCTTCAGTAAAATATGATTCTCATTCTTTCAGCCTTCCAAGAAGAATCACAATCCCGCCACAAAGAGTGTTTTAATATGCATGAAATAACACACAGATGAGTCTGTGATGAGATCCCTGTTCTCATTAAATACTCCGCTCATGAGTCATAGTGGGATAATAGCTCATCGGGACGGTTCAGCTCTGGTGTGAAGCTTCTTAGTTGAAGTCTGGCGTTGTGCTGCTGCGGCCTGTCTGTGGAGCGGAATTGGCTTACTGTGGTCTCTCTAAGCCTGCTGCTAACCCCCCTACACCTTCTGTCTGACACCTGAGGGGAGGGCTCTCTGTTACTACTCTACTACTCAGGGCTGCACAGGGTGGATTTCTCTCTGAAATCTGTTTATTCTGCATTAAAAAAATGTACAAATACTAAATAATGTTAGTTTGCAGGTCGAGTAATCACTCCACCTGTTCTCTAAATATTCACATGGCTTATAGTCGTCTCTCTTCCTGTTTGAGATTGGATTATCAGCCCACTGTTATCGTTGTGATGTGGTGGGTTGTGTTGTTTTTTCTCATGTGTTCTGGTCGAGTTAGCTCATCTTGATCCCTGCTGTACATAAAGCTCTGTGGCTGCACAGTGCTTATTTCCATTATGACTGACCTGCAGTACCCTCTCATTTTACTTTCTTCACACAGTTATTTTGACTGCTTTTGCCAAACACAAGATTCAAAAGCCTTCCTTTTTAAGGTCATGCCAGTCTCACAGCTAAAGCAGCTTTGGTAAAGACCAAACGGGTGGTTATTTTTCCACACAAGGGAAACAGTGGTCCTGTTGACGGTCAAAAGTCAAACTGACACTCTGTCTGAAGGTAATAATTTACCAACAGATTAACTTCTCCAGCGATGGTTACCTCAAAGTCAAAGTCGAAGTCAACTTTATTGTCAATGTTAAAATATGCCAGACATACAGTGGAATCGAAATTGCGTTTGTCACCGTCCCGCGGTGCAATACAACCAAAAAAGATAAAAAAGAGATAAGATAAAATAAAATGAGGTAAAATAGGTAAACAATATTTACAGTAATAAATTCTATAAATAAATACCTGTCCTTAAATGATCGCAAAGCTTCAGTGAACTCGAGGCATGTGGTGAATCATTCCCCCGTCAATATTGTTCATGAATTGAGTTGCTGATAAAGTATTTTAAACATTGTTTGCATTCAAAAAAATGTCATTTTATTGCTGTTGTTACTTGAGATTATCATCTTCGGTATGTTTGACCCTTTGTTGGCCCTCTGATTGGTCTGCGGCTCCCTCTCATAGCAACTGTTGCTGGCTACTTCCAGTTCCAACTTTTGGCTGGGCAAAGTCATTTCAATGTGTCACAGGGAAAATTGTGTCCTTAATTTTGTTACTAAAAAGCAGCTTGGTGTGTCTGACAGAGTATCTGCATCGTCATAAGGGAGTTTTTCCTGCCCTGCATGGATCTGAAGCATTTAGCACAAAGTGATGTTTCTGTGATTATCTTACTGTGCACATAAGTCTCAGCTGTGTATTGAAGGCCTTGTTGACTACAGTAAGATATTCAGATCTCTGGCTCCAGAAATGTCCACTGATGGAGTCAGAGGTAAGTCAATGGAGTTAGCAGCAACATGAGGACAGCTAACGTTAGCCAGCATCACTAGCCTCGGACATGGATCATATTTAAAATGATTTTAACAAGTTTTTAGAGATTTCCAGTTCTCCTCATAAACCTTACTGTATCTCTCTCCTTATTATCTGTCCTAATGACTTCCTGTGCTTTTATTGAGGTGGTTGAATTGAGAGGTTGAATCTTTTTTTGAGAAATGTTTGTCCCAGTTCACTTTCCCTTTTCTGCAACATTTCAAAAACTCCAGTAAAAAATCGTCTTGCCAATGGATCTGAAACATGACTCGTCGTTCTGTAGTTCTTTCTGGTTCTTGTAGTTCTGTGTTCAGCTTCTTGTTTACTGCAGCATCTCCTGCTGGAACGTGAGGTTCATTCAGGACACAGATTGTAAATATCTGCCTTGTACACCTGCCTCCCTGGCTCTGTGTCATGAACTCAGGTAACCCTCCTTTAAGTCATTTATTCCTTTCACTTCCTGTAAACACATCACACCCTCAAATCCCACACAGCCACATATTAATAGACGAGTCACCATCTGGCTTTAATTTGAAGCTTCACTAATACTGAAGAGGGGGAAGGAGGGTGATATCTGGTCCTGATCATTTTTACTATCTGAAGGATTCTTCATAATGTGCTCCTGTTGTACTTCATCACATGTTTAAAACACAAACTACGGGGGCTTTACGACAATACAGTCAGCTCATTGCTCAATACATCTGGTTTTTGGTCAAGGTGTTCAGTTCGAAACTGACGTCCCTGAGAAATGTTCCCTATCATTTACCCAGTGACACGTTTGAAAATAATCCAAAATGTGAAAGATGGAGAGTCCCAACGGTCTCCTTTTTGTAAAACAACAGAGCGACCTGCTTCTCTCATCGGCTTCCTTGTCCTCTCTTGTTTTTGTTTCCCACCTGACAGGTGAGACGCTGAGTGAGCAAGGGAGCAAGTGAGAGACAGAACAAGAGAGAGAGAGAGAGAGGCCATGGAGCAGCAGAGGCAGAGAGCTCTCTCCACGTCAGGAGAATCGCTGTACGTCGTGCTGGGAGTCGACAAGAGCGCCACGACAGACGACATCAAGAAATGTTACAGGTACAGACAAACACTCAGAGAATGAGACAATAACGCAGCACACTGTTCTTTGTAACCCAAACTGAATACAGCCACAAGGCAGTCCCTCTGTGATGTACATATGTTGTGTTTCTAACCACTAGAGGGAGTCAGAGGTCTGCAGGAACCAACTCTAAATGGGTCAAGTCGACCCTGGAATAAATACAACTGTTAGAAAGTTAGAAAGAAACATTCTGGTTTCTCTTGAACTATGTGAGAACTGTTTAAATTGTGCATTTAAACATATTTCAAAGAGGTGACATGTTGGCTTCCTCGTCCTTTTTGCATTTAAAGAAAGTTTCTGCACAACGTGATCAACTTTTATCAAGTTTGTGTCCATTATTTTACGACTCAAATGTTCTTATTTTCTGCACCTGCTACAGATCGATCCAGTAATATTTAACTTCTCTAGCCCCTAAAGATGTCTTAATGTCTGAAAAAGAAATCAAAAGTCTGTGGGCGAACCCGAGAAAGCTTCACAATAAAAACAAAGTAAAGTTATTTTCACCTGAGAAGGTTTTAGGTTGTTCACAGGGTTTCCTTTTGGCCATTTAAAATTCTTAATGTCTGTTTAATATTTAAAATGAAAAGAGTACGGTCGAGAAAACCTGATGAGCCAGCTTCACAGGGTGTCATGGGATCGCTTTTGGAAATCATCCTTCTCGTTTTTTTTTTTTTTTTTACAGGAAACTGGCATTAAAGTTTCATCCAGACAAGAACCCAGACAATCCAGACGCGCGGAGAAGTTCAAAGAAATCAACAACGCCCACTCCATCCTGAGCGACGCCACCAAGAAGAACATCTACGACAAATACGGCTCCCTGGGGCTCTACGTCGCCGAGCAGTTCGGAGAGGAGAACGTCAACACCTACTTTGTTCTGTCCAGCTGGTGGGCCAAGGTGACGCAGACGAGACACACACAAACAAACAGTGATGAGTGAGGGATTGAACATGAGAGGGATGAACCTCAGAGTGCAGAGAATGTACGCTTTGAGACGAGGGGTGTAAAAACATCACTAATGTCCAGCGTTGACATATAAGTGTCAGCAGCATGTCTCGTCCTGGACTCTAAAGAAAAGCAGGATCTGATTCTGAAATAAAAACCATGTTTCAGTTTGAATGAGGAGTCAAAGATCTGGAAACAGACTCAATCTGTGAACCCTGAGAAGTGTAGACTGAAGGCAGGTGTCTTAGATTTAGACATTTGAAAACAGTCTGACTTCTGCTTATGATCTAAATATCTGTATTGTGTCTGTCCACAGGCTCTGTTCGTCTTCTGCTGCCTGTCTACAGGATGTTACTTCTGCTGTTGTCTGTGTTGCTGCTGTAACTGCTGCTGCGGGAAATGTAAACCTCGGCCGCCCATGGACCAGGAGCCCGAGTTCTACGTGTCCCCGGAGGACCTGGAGGCCCAGATGACCGCTGAAGAGAGAGGTGAGGAAAGCACACAAAACTTTAAACGTCTTTGGCCTCTGTCACCCCTCAACTGTAAACATTATATTTCAGCATGCTAACCCAAAGGCAAAAAATAAATAAAAGTGTGTGTGTGTGTGTGTGTGTGTGTGTGTGTGTGTGTGTGTGTGTGTGTGTGTGTGTGTTCCCCAGATGGTGAGCCCATCGTGATGCAGCCGTCCTCAGCCACAGAAACCACCCAGCTCACCTCTGATGCGCACCACAGCTACAGGACCGACGCATACTAGACACACACACACATATACACTACACATCTTCCAGTTAACCAAACACACAACCCGCTCCAGCACAATCACGGGACTGATCTAAACACTGAACACACACTCTTTACAGCTTTCTGCGGCTGCACACACGGGACAAACCAGCAAATATTAAAACCATAAGAAATGTTTTTATTGATTTTAAGATTTGCTGTGGAGGGAGGGACGAAGGAGGAAGAAGTAAAAACGTTTTCAGATTAAATCATTATTTTGACTTTTTTTAAGACAGAATAAGAACAAGAAACGTCTGAACATGTGTTAACTTAAGCAGGGTGCACACTTCAAGATGATCGGCCCGATTCCTTTTGTCCGACCTAGGTCAGCAAAGGCTCGATTATCTGATGGTTCTGGAAATTGTGGTGTGCTAACAGTGATTTTCCCCGATCTGCTTAGAAGACAATCAGAGCCGCCCAGATTTGAATTCATATTTTAAACATATTTCGATCAGACAATCCTGTCGTGTGGAGAGAGAACGCCAAAGACAGATGAGCGCGCACTCTGTGGAGCATCACGGGGAACAGCACAATAGCCAATCAGGAAGCAAGCTGATTGAAGCACAACAAACGCAACCAAGGGGCGATGACAGCAAACGCGAAGTATAAAGTTAGACGGGCGCCAGAAATATAGAAACAATTTGTTGATTTGTGGCAACAACACGATGTGTCCTGTAAAACGTGTCACAATCAAACAGACGAGGAGGGGTTGTCTGCCATGTTTGTTTACTCTTAAAATGCGTTTTGACCGTGCGGGCCTCTGGTTGTAGGTGAAAGGATCTGTGTTGTGCTGCACACCACACACATGATAATTTATCTCAGCGCTGAAGGCTCAAAATGGAAAACAAAATGTTTTCAAAACATGTGAGTCAAATATGTTTGAGAAAAAACTAGTGCAGCCAGGAGACGTGAGATATCAAATCGAGGACGACAAAAAGGCTGTTTGTACACCATAAATTGTCATGGTAATGCTAATGGTAAACATGTTTACCCTGGTACAAAAATAAATCAGGTGTGATTAGTTGTTGTCATCACTGAAACACACTGTACGGGGGGTGAATTTAAAGTAAACAAGGATCTTCAAATCTGATATTTATCAACTGGAAATTTATTCAGAAATTTCAAAAATATGTTTTCAAATTAAGGACTGAATGTTTAAGCCTTCCAGATACGATAAAGTTTTTTTAAATCATGAAGTCAGAGCTTGTTTCTCCTCCAGCAGGAGAGGTAGCGTCTGTGTCGAGTCATCCTGCGGGGAAGCGCTCGTCGAGGCTCCTCTCTGAGCGTGACGCTGGCTCGAAGTAGGTCAGAGATTCTTTCTATATGTTCAGTGAGGAGTTGATAAGTCTGGCCTGGGGGGGGGGGATGTTTATTTGTCCTTAACGCTCACCACAGACGCCCCCCTGAGTATGGAGCGGGCAGCTCACACTTCAACAGGTGCTGTGATGCCATCGAGTCCTCCTCACTTAAATCATCACAGAACCATTGAAACATGTCGTGCGATTAAATCAACAGTTTTCCATTTGATGATTAAGAGCTGCTGAACTCTTGAACCCCCCCCCCTCTCTTCATCCTCCTCAAAGTTAAATCTACACTTTCTCTTCCGTGTGTGAAGACATTAGCTCCCTGAGTCGCACTGGGAGCCATGTGTGTGTGTGAGCCGTTGCACAGTCCTGTGTTATTATTAGAAACATAACAAGTCCATGATTACCAAGCGTTAGTGACCTCTTACTTTCGTCCAGAAGAACAGACATATAAAACACTGATTGAGCCCCTTTTTCTTTGTTTTTAGTTTCCATTTTGTTTTGTGAGAATCCGTTGTACATGTTGTGTAAACTGAATGTTTAGATTTGACTTCACAGTATTTCTTTTTGTTCTGTTTCTGTAGAATTGCTTTTCATTGTCTTTTTTGTTTTTCTTATTTAAGTTGTTGACGAATGGAGGATGTTGATATCCAGAGTCTTACTCGTTAGTGTGGCAGCAGTTTTTGTAGGTTATACAATCCTCATAACGACTAAAGAACAGTTTTTAAAACCATCACACTGATAAGTTAGCGTGTCATTTTTTCAGATTAGTCTTTTTTTTGTTTTCTAGTTTTTCTTTATTTGTCGCTCATGAGTAGCACTGCAGCTTTTATATTAGAACACACAGGAACACTGAGGTTGTTTGTGTCAATGATTTTATACCAAAAAGAAACATCTTCATGGATCTAAAAGGATTATGTTATGAGTATATTGTCTTTTACTTTTTAATCAAACGCTTTGTTCATTATGTATTTTTACATATCATGAGGAAAAGCAATATCCAAACTTTCAACCACAAATTTCAAAGGTTGTTTCAGGAAATCTGCAGCTTCATAAAAACTCAAAACTAGCTTTTTTTTATTACTGAAAAAGCAAAATAATGCTCTATTAAGTTGAATACATCAATTTAACTTAAAATCTTAACAAATTATATCTCAAATGAGTACAAACTACAGTAATTATATATCATGCCTCCTCAAGAACATGTTAAAAAAAAGAGGCTGCTGTTTTAATTCTTTGTGTCTTCCAGTTTTTGATTTGGACAAAAGTTTCCAGTTTAAAGAGTTTTTATTCGGCCTGCAGATGATCTGTTGTTTAGTTTTGTGATTCGTGTCATTTGACCACTTCAATGCTACACAATCCCTCTTTAATTTTTCCTGCTGTCAACTAAACATGCAACACTGTCACGAGAGCAGCGTCACACTGTTAGCTCTGAAACAATGACATAAATAACGAGAACTAATGTGAGTGTGAATATAGCGACCAGATGATAATATCGAAGCATTATTTTATTTATTTTATTTTTCTTATGATTTTAATAACTGATTAACGACTAGCCAGTATGTGGAGGGGGATGTATAGAGTGTTAGATGTGAACCGTTTTGGCGCTGAATTGTCAAAATGGCCGCCCTGCTGTATATACACGCAGTGACACAGTACATAGAGATGTAGAGATTTTTCTGTTTGTAGCATGGGCTGATGATGTCTGCGTCTGTCAGGCAGACGTGTGGATAAATGAAGTATCTGATGTACTGTTGTAAAATAAATGTTTCTGATGCTTCAGATCCTCTTTTCTCACTGTGGGTTTCTTTTATTAGACACCAGAAAGGTTTACGTTTTTCACCTCAAATGCTTCCATTACCATTAAAGGTCACATATTCTCCTCCTCAAACAGTGTAAATAATTATCAGAGTTCCACAAAACATGTGTGTGAAGTTTCTTGTTCTGAATCCACTCTGATCCTGTATTTGATCATGTCTATAAACCCCTCTATTTCAGCCCTGCTCAAAACAGGCTGTTTCTGTGTCTGTACCTTTAAATATGTAAATGAGCTGTGTCTGACCACGCCCCCTCTCTGGAAGGGTTTCTCCAGCTTTCTCGCTCCATGTCCTATTGTTAACGGTGGGGAGGCAGACTCAGAGGGCAGAACAAATACCTAGCTGTGGGCGTGTCACTCACCTGGGGGAGGGGTTACTGCCCTTTTTGATGTCATGAATAGAAAATCTCCAAACGGCCTGTTTGAGCACACATTTTCTGAAAAGTGGAGCAGGCAGAAGACGGAGAGGATGGATTTTTCTCATCATTGGGGGGTTTATAGACAGATGAGAGTCACATGTATTATTGAAACACATAGTGAAGTGGATCTTTCATAATATGTGACCTATAAGGCATTTTAATGTTTTTAAGTGAAAACAAGGGGACCTAGCTAGCTGCCCTGTGGAACACCTTAGAATTTAAATGTACTTCCTAATCCAAGGTTTTGTCAATATGTAACATTTAATTAACACGTTTTTTGTACAAAAAAATTATAATAACAAATATGGATATGCAGGGAAACCTTTGCATCGTAAAGTCTCTAAAAAATATTTTCAAACTCTTGAATTAGGTGTCCTCAGGGTAGGAGGACACCCTGAGGACACTGAAGTTTTACTGAAGTAAAAACCAACAAGGGGTGCTGGATAGCTAAGGAGGTTTTCAGAAGTTTTCTGCAAGTGTGAACGCACTTTTAGTCTGATACGATGAAATTCAACTAACAAACTGATAAAAAATGTAGGGCTCAAAGGGCACTAGGACCTAACAGAATACCTTTATAAAAACAACTCAAGCATAAATGTGCCATTAAATAAAATTTCAGACTAAAATCAAATAGGCTATAACCAATATCGGGTGATATGTTGTAATTTTCTTTGTAAAAGGTAAACTTAAAACAAGTTTCTGACTTTTATTTGACACAATAAGCCAATCAGGAAGCAAGCTGATTGAAGCAGGAAGGAATTTGTTTTTGACATGTAAATGTTTTTTGTATTGGAAAGATTCCTCCCAATGAAGCATAAATACAAAGAAAAACAAGGGGACCTAGACAACTTCCCTGTGGAACACCTCATAGTTTAAACTGCTGATATATGATGTAATGTTTCTCAAACTCAACAAATACCTGATAACTACATAGAATATTTATTTAAAGGAGATGGTGTGAACATTAATTAAATGCTGATATAGTTTTTATGAATACTAAATGAGGGGGCTAATTTATTAACCACAAATGTAAATTATTGAACACAGCAACATAACTGATTATACTCTGTAATTAAACATGCAGCAGCACCATGCAGAGTGTGTCTGTCCGCTGTTGGTGATTAAAGTGTCAGATTTAATGTGCTAATCATCAGTTCATATTAAAATGCAACAGTGAGCACCTTTGAGAGGACAGTGAGTGTGTGTGTAACCGTAGAAAGAGCACAGCCTGGCTTGGTCTTAATCTGTCCACATACCAGTCGCTGCCTGATTTGGTTTGTGTGCGTGTGTGTGTGTGTGTATGTGTGTGTGTGTTGGGATCATTTCAGAGGCACTGGGCTGAAACTTGAAACTCCCTCCCTGACTCAAATCCCCTCTTTGACACACACATACAGAGACACACACATTTAGCTGTGGATGTCAGGAAGGCTGTGAACTGACAAACACAGCAGTCTCTACTTGTGCGGAGAAAGAGGAATGGAGTGATTGTTGGACGAGGAGGACTGGAAGCAGAGAGAAGAGCGTGAACGAGGGCTGGACTCTGGCCTGATGTCCCTCCGGGAAGATTTGGTGTCAGCGTTTGGTGTCACAGGAGCTGAAGAGGAGAACCCCCACTTGCTGCTTAATTTCTCTTTTGGATATGAGATTTCTACTTGAACTGATTAAAACTCCAGCTGGGATTTTTGTCACTTTATACTGGAAATGCAAAGATATTCCAAGGCAACACATGCCCTAAGAGAGACTGTTTCTCAAGCTTTAAATAAATCTGACAACCTTTTTTGAAAGTGTCTGACCGACTGAGTGAGGAGGGTATTTCCAGAACGTTAGACAAGACAGCGTTTCAAGTCAGCAGGTTTATGCAGAACTTACCCAACAACTGAGAGAATCAAAATCTGAAAAATTAAACTGCACTTTGATCATCTGTGGATGCAAAAAAAAAAAAGGAAGAATATGCAGAGATACATTTCTCTACCTGCAGGGGTTTGTCTCAGTTGGTGTTTCGCTGAATCTTGCAGAACCTCAAGTTTGCTGTGATTTGGGAAAACAACAGACGAGTGGGAATTTGCTCATTTGGAAATAAATAAGCATTCGGTTTTCTTTTGAGGAAGGACGAGCACGAGGACCAGACGCATGAGGAGGAGGACTATCTGCATTGTCATTCCATCGTCCACAAGATTTTAATGAGAGACAAACTGACTGCTAACAAACCGAACACTCAGCGACCATCAGCAGATGGAGAGGAATGTGAGTAAACAGTTTATTTGACATTTTAATGTTTATGTTGTTTGTCTTCTTAAAAATCTTTTTTTCATTCCCTTAAATAAATAAATTCCAACATGCATTATATGCATGCATCAAGGTTCTTTTTTTTTTACTTTCCAGGAGGCTCGTGTTGATTCATTAAGGCAGATATTGGTTAGCAGGCATTACTTTAAATCACAAATTATTACGGCCAATTAAATCCCACACTGTGACATTGGCTTGAGTTTAGATAAATGTCATCAGGGTTCTGAAAATACAAGTTGCAAGAAGATATGATTCTAGAAATCTTCTTTATCTTTCTGTTACGTTTGGAGTTAAATAAAAGCATCATGAGGTGTTTTGAGAAGTCAAACCTTGGAGACGTCTTTAAAAGCCACTTGGTAGGCAAAGCCATCACAAAAACAAACCAAGCAGCCAAAACACAACTTGTAACCATAGCGACCGTAAAGATTTCAGTGAAATATACTGAAGTCAGGTGTTTGATTGTACAGCAAACTGTTAACATCTCCTCAAACAAGAAAAACATCTAGGACCCAAATTAGACAAAATTAAACTAAACAGAAAATATGAAATATGTCCAAGACAAATTTACCCAAGGGGACAATGAAGTGTATCATAATGTTTCCTATTGTTGTTTATCATATTGTACTGTATCATATCATATTGTGTTGTATCACTTTGTATCTTATCATAAATGTTATAATTGTTTGTTGCATAAAGGGGCTTCAGATTGATTTCATGGCTGTCAGTGTTTTAACTTGAGATGTGTGACAAATAAATAGAAGATAAAACTTTAGTGCTGATGAAAATGTTTTCTGGTGTCATCAGGAGGAGGTGAAGTTTGGCGGCGCGGCCATGTCTCTACCTGCAGACCTGAGCTGTCTGCAGGGCGTCGGGGGGGCGGAGGGGGAGGCAGCTCTGGCCACGCTGGAGAAACAGCTGATCTGTCCCATCTGTCTGGAGCTCTTCAACAAACCCGTGGTGATCCTGCCCTGCCAGCACAACCTCTGCAGGAAGTGTGCCAACGAGCTCTACCAGGTCTCTGACACTGCACACACACACACACACACACACACACACACACACACTTAAAACAAAGCCCACTGTGCAGTGTATGTGCAGAGTGGATTATCTGCGTCTAAAATGGGACCGGTGGATGTTTAACTGGTTCCATCATGGATACAGTATGACCTTCATTCACTGCTGATGTTTAGATTGTGTGTGTGTTTTATTCTTTTGCTGCCATGCCAACCCTGAAACTTCGGTGTGTTACAAAAAATATGTAAAAGTTTATGATTCTGCTCGAGGAAAAGTTAGAAGACCGCTAAAGTCAGAGGGATTCGTCCAGAGAGAACAACGAATGTCTGCACAAAATTTCACAGCAATTCATCAATTGAACGTTTGAATATTTTAGTTTAGGACGACAAACATGTTCTTGGAGCAAAGAAAAGGCCTACAGGGGAACTCCCTCAAGAATAACATACCCCTCAGCGTGTAGTTTTTTAGCATTTGAAAGTGCAGCCACAATTTGGACTCCTCATAACAATGAAGTTGGCGACTAGAAATTACAACACCAAACAAACGACAACAAGATTATCGGGGGTTGTGCAGCCGAGTCGTTGCCTTCCCGAACTCAAATCATAAATATCAATGAAGTTGTTAGAGGCTTTATATGTGATTTTTTTGATCCAGCAGATGTCGCCCTTGAGCACCAGCATGAAACCAAAACAACTCACGCTGCATTGTTGTGTTAGCATGCTAATGCTAGCGATCTTTATTATGCTGGTATCTTCACACTGCATGTAAATTTACCTGAAATGAGCGTGATCTAGAAACACAGTTAAGCAGTGAGTACAGTATGTTATTCTTCTTTTCTCTAGTCCCTCAATTAAACAACTTTTATACACGAGGGGAGGAGTCAGCCGGCCGTCCTGGCGATGTAAACAAAGTGAAGATAGGACTCTGAAAACTCTGAAAACATCACAGACAGTGGGACTCGGGTGTTACACCCATTGTAGACAGTCATGACTCACAGAGTTATTTTCAGAGGAGATACTTGATTTATACATTTAAGTGTGAAAAATCACATAGAAAGACTTTAAGTAGGCATCATTACGTTGGTGAGGCTCACTCTCATTGGCTAATGTGGCGAGTATTCGATATCCACGATTCCAGAACAGAGTGCCTCCAACGGAATACCCACAAGAGCCAATGAGAGGGGAGCAGACCAGGAAGTGTCACCAACCGGATGCCGCGCTCACCTCCAGCTCGCCTTGCAGAGTGTTTTAAAGCCTCGCCTAAACTGTCATCACATCCAGGATTTCCCCCGTGTTGTTTTTCTCGTTTTCTGTTTTTTTGCTGTCAAACAGAACGCACGGCAGGACGTCCAGCTGACATTGTCGATGGGCGTTTTTATTCTTCAGACATCATGTTTCATCACGCTAGTTTCTGTGAGATCTTGTGTTATTTAAACCCATCAAAAATGTCCTTGTGTCTGTGGTCTGCCACATTTTTGAAAATCTTCTAGTGTGTAGTGAGCCTGACGCCAAAAGGATCAAATCTAATGACATCCATAAACACAAATAGCTTCTTCTCCATTGGCTTAAAAGAAAAGAGCCATACGATTCTGCCTTCCTCTAAAGTCACATGTTCAGCGTTCAACCAGAACCTAAGACCATCTCATTTAAACACTCTTAGAATCTGGCTCCAGTTCTTGTTAACCGCCTCTCTTTATCGTCTCTTTTTCCCAACACACACAAGTCAGCACATTTTACACGTGTGTTAACCTGCATGTTCACATGTTAGCGAGACAGAAACCTAACCTGTGCAGACTCCTCCCACACTGTCCGGCTCATGTTCATGACCTTTGACCTTTAGAGGACTTTTCTTTGGAACCCGCTCACACTGAAACACAAACTGGCAGTAATGAAATGTGTGACTTTCTGTTCTTGAACGGTGCGTCCTGGTGGATTCACAGGCTTGCTCAAGGTGTTGTGAAGAGGTTGGTCATGAGTCGATAAACACCTGATGAACTGTTTACACCCCCGGCTGTTACAAACACACAGATGTACACACACCATTTGGCAACATCCCCCTTCAGAAGTCATGACCCCCCTGTGGTGGAACATTTTGATTGGAGGCATCACTGATTGCAGCAGAGTTCCTTTTTAATGTGTAAACGATCCACCTGACCTTCATGTTGGTGGGGATCAATCAAACATTATCTGTAGAGCGCCAATTCATAACAAGTGTTTTCTGGAGACGCTTTACAAAAAGAGCATATGTGATAATATGCAGGAAGGATTTCTTCTTTGTATTCCTCTCCTTCCTGTTGTCCTTACTTCCTTACCGCTGAGGTGGAGGTCGGAGCAGGCCGTGCATGAATGAGGACGGCGGTGGTTGTTGGGACGACACAGTCCGATGGTGGTCTTGGTCCCAGACTGGGCGTTCTCTGGATTTAAAATCAAGACCGGTCAAAACAGACCGGCTATTTTTCCACGTCATTACTGTGATTAGAAGGAAAACGCCTCTCTCCAAAATAAAAAAATAACTTCAATTCATTTGTAGTTTGATTCCATGAGTCATAAGGTCAGTGTGTGATGTCATAAGGTCAGTGTGTGATGTCATAAGGTCAATGTGTGATGTCATAAGGTGGATATTACTTTGGACTGGTCAGCTGAGCTGTCTGAGAGTTTGTTGAGGTGAAATGAGACATTCAAAGATGCAGCAGTGTCCTTCTTTTCCATCACTGAGACTACAGGGAGACACTGAGGACGACTATCTACGGAGAGCCTGAAGGGACAAACAGGAGATTAATCAGGATAAGAAATTGTAATGCATTCATTTTACACTTTGATTAATCAGGATTAACTACTTTAATGCTGACATCCCTAATATAGAAATATCAAGCTGGTCCCAAACACACAGTAACCCAGCTCTCTCTCTCTCTCTCTCTCTCTCTCTCTCTCTCTTCTCTGTCTCTCTCTCTCTCTCTTTCTCTGTCTCTCTCTCTCTCTGTCTCTCTCTCCCTCTCTCTCTCTCGCTCTCTCTTCTCTCTCTCCCTTCCTCCCTCTCTCTTTCTCTCTCCTCTCTCTCTCTCTCTGTCTCTGTCTCTGTCTCTGTCTCTGTCTCTGTCTCTGTCTCTGTCTCTCTCTCTCTCCCTTTCTGTCTCTCTCTCTGTCCTCGCTCTCCTCTCTCTCTCTCTCTCTCTTCTCTCTCTCTCTCTCCTCTCTCTCTCTCTCTCTCCCTCTCCCTCTCTCTCTCTCTCTCTCTCTGTGCGGTCAGGTCGTCCTGCAGCAGCTGAGGATCATTAAAGGCCTCTATTTCAGGACGCTTTAACCTTCTAACCTTCCATCAGTCTCTTCCCTCACTCTGTCTTCACACTAACCTTCATTTCTCCGATCAGTATCCACTCGTGTAACTAACTTCTGACTTCCTGACTAAATTTTATTTGATAAATTCTTTGCTGCCTTTTCATAGATCTTAATCTGTCCTGCTCATGATTAAAGAAAGAGCTACACAAAGGAACCGATTCAGCTTAGCATCAAGAACACAGGCTGTAGTTATTTTTTTTATTTTTTTAAAGATTTATTTTGGGCTTTTTTGTGCCTTTAATGCAGAGAGAGGACAGTGGATAGAGTCAGAAACCAGGGAGAGAGAGAGAGGACAGTGGATAGAGTCTGAAACCAGGGAGAGAGAGAGGAAGTGGATAGAGTCTGAACCAGAGAGAGAGAGAGAGGACAGTGGATAGAGTCTGAACCAGGGAGAGAGAGAGGACAGTGGATAGAGTCAGAAACCAGAGAGAGAGAGAGGACAGTGGATAGAGTCTGAAACCAGAGAGAGAGAGAGAGGACAGTGGATAGAGTCAGAAACCAGAGAGAGAGAGGAGGACAGTGGATAGAGTCTGAAACCAGGGAGAGAGAGAGAGGACAGTGGATAGAGTCAGAAACCAGAGAGAGAGAGGACAGTGGATAGAGTCAGAAACCAGAGAGAGAGAGGACAGTGGATAGAGTCAGAAACCAGAGAGAGAGAGAGAGGACAGTGGATAGAGTCAGAAACCAGAGAGAGAGAGGACAGTGGATAGAGTCAGAAACCAGAGAGAGAGAGAGAGGACAGTGGATAGAGTCTGAAACCAGGGAGAGAGAGAGAGGACAGTGGATAGAGTCAGAAACCAGGGAGAGAGAGAGAGGACAGTGGATAGAGTCTGAAACCAGAGAGAGAGAAAGGACAGTGGATAGAGTCAGAAACCAGAGAGAGAGAGGACAGTGGATAGAGTCTGAAACCAGAGAGAGAGGACAGTGGATAGAGTCAGAAACCAGAGAGAGAGAGAGGACAGTGGATAGAGTCAGAAACCAGGGAGAGAGAGAGAGGACAGTGGATAGAGTCAGAAACCAGAGAGAGAGAGGGACAGTGGATAGAGTCAGAAACCAGAGAGAGAGAGGACAGTGGATAGAGTCTGAAACCAGAGAGAGAGAGGACAGTGGATAGAGTCAGAAACACAGGGAGAGAGAGAGAGGACAGTGGATAGAGTCTGAAACCAGGAGAGAGAGAGGACAGTGGATAGAGTCAGAAACCAGAGAGAGAGAGGACAGTGGATAGAGTCAGAAACCAGAGAGAGAGGACAGTGGATAGAGTCAGAAACCAGAGAGAGAGAGGACAGTGGATAGAGTCTGAAACCAGGGAGAGAGAGGACAGTGGATAGAGTCAGAAACCAGGGAGAGAGAGAGAGGACAGTGGATAGAGTCAGAAACCAGAGAGAGAGAGGACAGTGGATAGAGTCAGAAACCAGAGAGAGAGAGAGAGGACAGTGGATAGAGTCAGAAACCAGAGAGAGAGAGGACAGTGGATAGAGTCAGAAACCAGGGAGAGAGAGAGAGGACAGTGGATAGAGTCAGAAACCAGGGAGAGAGAGAGACAGTGGATAGAGTCAGAAACCAGAGAGAGAGAGAGGACAGTGGATAGAGTCTGAAACCAGAGAGAGAGAGAGGACAGTGGATAGAGTCTGAAACCAGAGAGAGAGAGGACAGTGGATAGAGTCTGAAACCAGGGAGAGAGAGAGGACAGTGGATAGTTGGACAGTGGAGGACAGTTGTTTCTGACTCTATCCACTGTCCTCTCTCTCTCTGGTTTCAGACTCTATCCACTGTCCTCTCTCTCTCTGGTTTCTGACTCTATCCACTGTCCTCTCTCTCTCCCTGGTTTCAGACTCTATCCACTCTATAGAGTCAGAAACCAGAGAGAGAGAGAGGACAGTGGATAGAGTCAGAAACCAGAGAGAGAGAGAGGACAGTGGATAGAGTCAGAAACCAGAGAGAGAGAGGACAGTGGATAGAGTCAGAAACCAGAGAGAGAGAGAGGACAGTGGATAGAGTCAGAAACCAGAGAGAGAGAGGACAGTGGATAGAGTCAGAAACCAGAGAGAGAGAGAGGACAGTGGATAGAGTCAGAAACCAGAGAGAGAGAGGACAGTGGATAGAGTCTGAAACCAGGGAGAGAGAGAGAGGACAGTGGATAGAGTCAGAAACAACTGTCCTCCACTGTCCAACTATCCACTGTCCTCTCTCTCTCTCTGGTTTCAGACTCTATCCACTGTCCTCTCTCTCTCTCTGGTTTCTGACTCTATCCACTGTCCTCTCTCTCTCTGGTTTCTGACTCTATAGAGTGGATAGAGTCTGAAACCAGGGAGAGAGAGAGGACAGTGGATAGAGTCAGAAACCAGAGAGAGAGAGGACAGTGGATAGAGTCTGAAACCAGAGAGAGAGAGCGGGGAACGACATGTGGAAAGGGGCCACGGGTGGAAGTGAACCCGGGCCTACCGCTCGAGATGAGAGTCTCAATACATGGGACGCGCGCCCTAACCACTGGGCCACCAGAGCACCCCTAGTTATTTATTTATTAACTCCAACTTCCTTCGATCATTTCAACTGTCATCATTTATTCTCTCTTGTACACATAGAACAAAATAATGCATGTCGACAAGAAAGATTCAGGAGACTCAGAGGACTTAAAGGTCACAGAATCCACAAAATCCACATCACCATGTGCCCCTATTCTGTCTACAAACCCCCAAATGATGAGAAAACTCCATCCTCTCCGTCTTTTGCCTGCTCCACTTTTCAGAAAATGTGTGCTCAAACAGGCCGTTTGGAGATTTTCCCTTCATGACATCACAAAGGGCAGTAGCCCTCCCCCAGGTGGGTGACACTCCCACAGCTAGGTGTTTGTTCTGCCCCCTGAGTCTGCCTTCTCATCGTGGTCAGACTCAGCTCATTTACATATTTAAAATAGCTGAAATAGAGGGGTTTATAGACATGATCAAATATAGAACAAGAAACTTCACACACATATTTTGAGGAGCTCTGAGACTTATTTACACTGAAGAAGAGGAGGATATGTGACCTTTAAGGTTGAAGCTATTTATATTTGACTTGACAAAAGAGAGTGTGTGTATCTTTTCTTCCTTTAGAATATGATTAATTATCGGGGACTTTTATTGACACACACTGTTTTTTTAGAAGCTGAGCACCACAGTGTGTTTACATGAACGGGGGACTTTCCCTGTCCCACTGTTACCCGTCCTGAACCAGCTCTGACTTCACCCCCGTCTTTACATTTTCAGCATTCTCCACCTGCTATCCAAACCATTTTAAATAATTGATTGAAATCCCAGCATGCAGCAGGGTTACACGACCACAAACAAAGATGCTGAAAGTACTCTCCTCCCTGTCTCTCCCCTCAGCCCTCCCTGTTCCAGGCTCGCACCACCATGATGTTAAGCAGCGGCCGTTTCCGCTGCCCGTCCTGCCGACAGGAGGTGGTGCTGGATCGCCACGGCGTCTTCGGCCTGCAGAGGAACCTGCTGGTGGAGAACATCATCGACGTCTACAAACAAGAGGTCGCCAACTACAACAACAAGGCGGCAAGGTGAGGAGAGACGACAAGAAAAAATCATGATAACAAATTTAAAAAGATAGGAAACAGGAAAAGCGGTTTAGATAATGGATGTTTTATTACCTGCTGTCTCTGTGTCTCTGTGTCTCCAGCGCCCTCCCTCCTCCTCCCTCTCCTGCTCAGCCGACGTGTCCGGACCACGAGGGGGAGAAGGTGAACATCTACTGTCTCACCTGTAAGGTCCCCACCTGTTCTCTGTGCAAGGTGTTCGGGGCTCATCAGTCCTGTCAGGTGGCTCCTCTGAGCGACGTCTACCAGCTGCAGAAGGTAAAAATAAAAAAACTATTTTTATATTTGTGTTTGCAGAAACGTTCTTTTAAATTCTTATATTGTTGTTTTTTTGATATTCAGTTAACTTTTTCTTTTTTCTTTTTTTTTAAATCCCAGGATGAGCTGAGTGAGGAGGTCAGCTCTCTGAAGGCGTACAACGACAAAGTCCAGGCTGTGATCAACAACCTGGAGCAGACCTGCAGAAACATAGAGGTGTGTTAATTAATTTCATTTCAAACCTTTATTTATTCTCAAAAAGACACTGAGGTTTCAAACTCATTTCCAACGCCGTCGAGATTACAAGCACATTAAAACAAGCAAAAACACATCAAACACTCAGAATCTGTGACAAAAACCACTGAGATCCATTAAAACAGTTACAATTTGAAACAAAGTTGTTTGAAATCAAATTCCTAAACTCTGGAAGAGAGGGATGAACTCTGATCCTTAGAGTTTGCTGGAGGGCGTTCCACGAATTTGGGGCATCAAAAGAAAATGCAGATTTACCGAGTTCAGTAAAAGCTTGAGGGACTTTAAGAACGAGCCAATCAGATCTGTGAATAATGTGGTAAATATGCCCGAAGAGCCACATATTTTAATCCACATTAATACAGATCTTCTAAACATTGTATCTGTTTATCTATCTCTGGTGCAGAAAGCTTGATTCTTATCCAAAGATTTAAAAACAGTCAAATGAGCCACGCTGCTGCACTGATTGTTTCTTTATTCACATGATGAACACTCATCCTTATTTACTCGTCATCAAATGTCAACCTTTCTTCTTCACATTGAGGCAGAAATAGTTGGGTTTTCGGTTGAGGGGGCCGTTAGGGGCCTGGTGGTACGTTAGGTAGTATCAGCGTTGTCACTATCTGGAGCTTGCATGTACTGAGCCTGGGTCTGTTGAAGGTCACATGTTGTTTGGGCTGTGGTGACCATCTGCGTGTGGGTGTGGTGGGCGAAAAGCTGGAGACATCTGGAGGCCTGTCTGTAGACATAACATCGTTTCAACAAGTGGAATAAGAAAACTATTTATTACAATGAATAACATGGAAATGTTATTCAGAAAAACTTTTGCACTTGGACTCTATGGGGGGTGGGTGGGGGGGTGGGGGGTGATTAGTTTGGAGAATGACAATTCTGAGTGTCGACAGACTAATCCCCCTCATGGAGTCCAGACCTGGTGGAGGTGAAGCTGATGACTTGATGAGAGCTGATGGGTTCTTCACCCATCAGCTTGATCTGATGGGTGATGATTCTGTGAAGACGGGGGAATGAAACATCAGCATCAGAGAAAGAATCATATTTAAAAGTGGAGCAGAGCGATGATAGGCTGACAGTGAGGGAGGAACGCCATGTCATTGGTTAGATGAGTCAGCCGATTAACCAATCACAGCCCCCAGAAATTGTCAGCAGAAACGTGAGTGAGCGTTCATAAAGGGAATGATGTGGTCCTTCTGCCGTCTGCAGGAAAACTCCAAGACGCAGAAACAGCGAGTGTGTGAGCAGCTCGATCACGTGTTGTCCATCCTGGACGAGAGGCGGAAGGTTAGAGTCCACTTTT